CCTACTGGCAGGGCTTCAAAATACACCCCTGTGCGTTTTTCACCTTGAGTGTGGCAATGCCCTCCTCCTCACACATCTTTTTGCTCCTACCCTGGCTCCCCTTTCTCCTCCATGCAACAATCCCCGTGTGTCTGTCAAAAGGCAGGAGAGTCTATCCACTCCTCAGTTCAAATGTCTCACTCATCCCATGAAAACCAACATTCACACAAAGGCCTACAAGGCTTCTCTGACCTGCCCAATGTTTCCTCCCACACCCAAAACCCTTCTCACAACCCTTCCTGTACTCACAACTTACTTAGCCCTCTCCAGCCATGTTGTGTTCCTGGCTGGGCCCCAACCCTGCCACAGACGTTTCCCCTTCCAAGCGTTTGATATTGCTTATCCCTTCACCTAGACCACTCTGCCCTCTCTAGTCATGTGGTCCATGCCATCTCCCCTATGGGAACTTCACACAGAAGCCATCACACCCGTAATCCTGGCACCCAGGATGCTAAGGCCGAAGTGTGAGTCCGAAGCTAGCCTGAGCTACAATACCAGTTCCAGAAAGCCTGAGTACTGAGCAAGTGTGAGACCTACCCCTCAAAAAAGGAGTGCTAAGATTACAGGCATAGTCACTGCGCCCAGCTGAAACTCATTATTACACTGTCTTTAACAAAATAAATATAAAATATTAGCACTTATAGAATGTATTTATAGATTACATTCTATGATTTTATTAGAATATAAAAACATTGGTGCAAGCCAGTAGTAGTGGCACACGCCTGAAATCCCAGCACTCCAGAGGCAAAGGGAAGCAGATCTCTGAGGTTGAAGCCAACTTGATCTATAGAGTGAGTTCCAGGACAACCAGGGCTACACAGGGAAACCCTGTCTCAAAACAAACAAACAAACAAACAAAAAATCAATGCCACATTGCAGTTTTCATGCTGAATCTCCAAAATCTGATGTATTGACATCACAGGCTGTACCAGGATTTGATGACCACGTGGTCAGTGGCCTCCGCACTGAGTGGTCCAACCCCAGAACAATGCCTGTAATAAAGTAGGGCGTGCAAATATCCACTGAAGGAAGAATATTTTCCTGGGAAAAGACAACCGTGGCATAAGCTATGGTTTGAATGTCTTCCCCCAAGGGTACATAGTAGAAACACTTTATCCCCAGTGCAACAGGGTTGGGAGGACGGACCTTTAAGAGATTAGGTCATCAGAGGTCTAGTGCTGAAAGGACATATGACAGGGCTCTTAGTCCCATGTGTATGCTCTCTTGTCATCTACCAGGGAATGACATAGCAGGAAGGCCCTCCAAAAGTGGCCCCTCCATCTCAGACTTCCCAGCCTCCACTCCTAAGACAAACTTGTACAGTTTGTAAGTTACCCTGTGTGTGACAGTCTGTTACCACACCACAAAATGGACTGAGACAATAAAGAAGGAGAGTGTCGGCAGGGTTTTCTTAACATGTTGTGTTATACATTTACAATATTTTCTCTGACCCTATTCTATTTCTTTCTGTTTTTTCTTTCTTTCTTGTAACCCAAGCTATACCTGAACATTTGAACTTGCAGCAATCCTCCTGCCTCTGCCTACCAAATGCTTGGCTTACAGGTATATGCCACTTATACACAGACTAATAGCACACTTTTTATATTCGAAAACTATTTTAAAATGAAACTTTCCATTGCTTCTATGAATTAAAAATAATAGGTCTAAAAATAAAAATTAAAAAAAAAAAAAAAACAGGTGTGGGAAAGACAGCTCATCAGGTAAAGGCGTTAGCTACCAAGGTGAGCTGCCAAGCCTGACAACTGGAACTCAGTTCCACAGACCCACATGGTTGAAGGAAAAAACCAACTCTTGCATTTATTCACTAGTTATGGAATCTTAAGTCGGGACTTCAGAAAGCCTCAGTTTCATCATCCATAGAATAAAAGCAACCTTCTCAGATCACAGGAATTGAATCAGATGCTGGGCCAGGCACAGTGGTGAATGAAGGCCTGCAACCCTAACTCTTGGAAGACAGAGACTGAGAATCTATCAATCTATCTATCCATCCATCCATCCATCCATCCATCCATCTATCTAGCTTGAAGTAGGGCACAAGTAGCCCATGCCTGTAATCCCAGCACTCTGGGAGGCAGAGGTAGACAGATCTCTATGCCAGCCTGGTCTAAAAAGAGAGTCCAGGACAACCAACACTACACAGAGAAACCTTGTCTCAAAAAACTAAACAAAACAAAAATTATAACCAGTTTGAGGCCAGCCTGGGTTATAACCTACCTTGTGTCAAAAAGCCAAAGAACAGTGTGATACTGTCTCAAAAAAAGAAAAGAGAAAAGAAAGGATGAGCATAGTCAATTGCACACAACACTCTGGAGGCAGAGGCAGGTGGATCTTTGTGAGTTGTAGGACAGCTAGGGCTACATTATGAAACTTTGTTTCAAATAAATAACCAAAAAATAAAAATGAGATGATGGCCTAAGGTCTTTGCAAATGGGAAAGCAGTCCTTAACTGAAAGACTAAGCCGGCCCTGGAGGTGCAGGCCTGCACTACCAGCCACTCAGGACGCAGAGCAGGAGAAGCACGAGTTCCAGGTTTGCCTGAGCTACAGGAATTTGAGGCCACGACAAGCAATTTCTGTTTCAAAAGGAAAAAATAAAATCACAAGAAGAACCGCTATGGTTATAGTTCAGTGGTGAGGTGCAAAGTGCAACAACAATATTAAAAAAAAAAGTGAAAGAGACTGACAAGCCAAGCCAAGCTTTTCCTCCCCATGCTCCTTGTTTTCCCACGGGCCAATAACACAGAACAGAGTTAGCTTCACTGACCAAAGAAAGAGACAGAAAAGGTAAGTTCAAACCCCTTGTTCAGCAGGTACAGCAAGCAGCGTGACCTTTAAAACCTCAATTATTTCTCAAACACTGACCAAGTACTCATAACATACCAGGCATGAGGCTAGCAACCAAGGAAGCCATGTAAAATACAATCACTGCCCTTGAATGATTTACAGTCTAGCAGGAAGATGAGTAAACAAGGAAGAAAAACAAAATGAAGTAAGGTCGGGGCTAAAAGAATGTACATAGTTTGGCAGTTAAGAGCATTTACTGCTCTTCCAGGGGACCAAGTTCAGTTCCCAGCACTCAAGTCCAAAAGCTCACAATGACCTGTATCTCTAGCTCCAAGGGACCCAATGCTCTCTCTTCTGGCCTCTGTGGGCACCCACACCGTACACATGGCATACATACAAACAGGAACACACACGAACACATGAATAAAAGTAAATCTTTTATTTTAAGTCAACTCTCCTAAGCTGTTTGTTCTCTGTGAAGTGGGAATGACCTCTCAGGACTGCTACAAAAACTAGCTTTTCAATGCTTGTCATATACCCCAAAGCCTTCCAACTCCTAATGTATTAACGCAAAATACTTTTTTCCACCTAGTGACCTGTGATTCTGGCCCGTGTCAGCATCCCATTTGAACCCTGACTCCTTCACTGCATTCATAAACTTCATTTCACTTCTGCAAAGCTTAATGTGAAGGGAAAGAAGATGACCTGTTTGCTCATTTAGGTGTTACGGTGTAGGCCAGGCTGGCCTGGAATTTGCAGCCATCTTCATGCCTCAGCCTAGGGAATGAACAATCTTTTTTTTTTTTTTCTTTTTCTTTTTGAGAAAAACAATCTTAAGGTGGGTATTCTAACCTCAAAAAATACGACCTAGGTCACAGTTATAAAGAACACAGCAGAGACTTTTCAGTCACCCCACCTAGTCACAGCTGGCCAAGATAAGCAGTCACGTGGTAAAGGAAGCTGCATAATTTAAGCCTAAGTGGAAAAGTGTCAAAGGAGTATCAGTAGATTTTCAACTGTCCAAGACTTAAGCAGTCAATGCGTTGCTGAGGTAACGCAACACTGTAGGGTAAAAGTCTTGTGATGATCAGAGCAAAGCACCTACACATCTTTGATTTTTTTTTTTTTTTTTCCCTCGAGGATGACCCGATCCGGGAGCACCTCAGAGAAAGACGATCTGAAGGGTTAGGCTCCCAACAAGTGGAAACCCTACCCAAACAGGGCAAAGTGGGTGTGACCAGAGTCAACGATCAAGACTCAGGGATCCCTCCTTAAGTTTAAAAACTGAACGGGACCGGTATCAAAGTCTCGGGTCGCCATCGCCTTCAAAGAGGACAGAGGAAGAGACTCTCGGAACGGGGTCCAGGCCGCACCGTCCAGATTTTCCTCCCCGTCCCTCCAAGCCAGACGCCCACTCTCAGGCAGCCCCTTCCAGGAAGCCTGCGGTCTCCCCGGCCGAGGTCGGGGCCGCTCCACAGACGCAGCTCCTCCGCCCCGCAGGCGCCCAGGCTGGGGTCCCCTCCCGGAAGCGCCAGCAGCCGGCGACTCCCGCCGGGCCCCGCGCCCACCCCGCCCGGGCGCGAGCCGGGACACCCCTCCTCGGAGGCCGGAACCGCGCGCCAGGCCCCTCCCACAGGAAGCCGCCGCCCCCGGCGCCCGCCCCGCGCCGCCCCCGGCCCCTCGC